CGTAATGCCTTGGGCTCCAATCTAATAATAATAATGTAAAACTTAATAACTAACTTACCTTTCGATACACTTACAGCGTTTATTTAATTTAAATTATTGCTTTTAACTACCTATGAAATTAAATTACTCTCAACCTTAATAATAACATATTAGAATGTGTATTGAAAATAAAATAACGCTCAAATACTAATATGTGTTTATGTATGTATTTGTGTGTGTGTGTATAATACGCTGATGCGTGTAATGTGGGTGCGAGAAAAAATAGAAGAGATAAACTTACGCTGCCTACCTATTCAACTACATTAGTATTGGATGCTTCCTATCTATCCTACCTACAATTAAAATTATGCCTATCTAACCTACCTATATAGCTTCTTAATGTAATTGTGTGTGTGTGTGTGTGTGCGTGTGAGCATTCTTACTTAATGTTAAATAACAGAGTAAAACAGAGAAAAACAGAGAAAAAAGAATAAAACGTATTCCAGCCAGGCGTATCTTCTTTGCCACTGAATGAACGAACGTAGCCTGACATCTTCCACGATGAATTCCTTTGGAAGCTTCAACCTGAATAAAATGGATGAAATGGAAAAATTTTATTTATTTGACTAATTTAAATGAAAATAGAAAAACAAGCCGCGGTGAAACCCGCCGGAAAAGCCAGCCAACTGGCAAAAAAAAGAACCGCAAAGAAACCGTAAAACGTACCCCAGCAGGGCGTGCATTCTTTGCCACCGAATGAACGAACGTAGCGTGACATCACAACCATTCTGATCGTCCACGATGAACTCCTCTGGAAGCTTCAACCTGGATAAATGAACCTGAAAAACCTAAATGAATGGAAAAATCTTATTTATTCAATTTAAATGAAAATAACCGCAAAGAAACCGACCGGTCGGCAAAGAAAAGAGAAAAGAAGAGCAAAGAAAGGTATCTATATAGGATTTATGCTCTATATAACTCTATAAAACTCTATAAAACTCTATAAAACTCTATAAAACTCTATAAAACTCTATAAAACTCTATAAAACTCTATAAAACTCTATAAAACTCTATAAAACTCTATAAAACTCTATAAAACTCTAT